TGGGGAGGTGGTTTCGGCTATGATCAGGGCTGTTTTTGGGGCTGTTTTTGGGATCAGGGGTTTGTCGTGGTGGTCTTGGACAGGTGGTGGTCTCGGACAGGGGAAGGAGGGGTCGGGTCTGGGGAGAGATCAAGGGGTTTGTTGGGTCAGGGGATTGTCGGTCAGGGGAGATCAGGAGGCTGGGGTTCACGTCGGGTTCAGTGGTTTCGTCGGGATCAGGGGACGGGAGACAAGGGTTTCGTCGGGATCAGGGGACAGGGGTTTCGTCGGGATCTTGGTGGCTCTGATACCATATAGAATGTGAAAACCCTAATTCATTATGAGATCTCTTGGGCTTTATATAGGCCCCTACAAAACTTACAAATAAGTCCCTAATAATACTAATATGTCAACAAACATCAAACAAATTTCAGTTCTTAATTCTTCTTGTCTTTAGCTATCATGCATTAATTATTCCCATGAACGATTACAAAAGTTTCAATATGTGTATTCATGAAACCATCGCTAATTTGATCAATACTAACTGCATACAGCTTAATAAGAGAAATTCCGAAAGAAAAAGAAAGAAAATTTAACAACTAAAAGAAAACTTGAAACTTGCTGAGAATTAACTTGAACTTTTAACAGTTATTCAGACAAGCTGATGCAAGATCATGATATGATGATTAAGGAGTATTTTGTGACAGTAAATAATAATGAAAATAGCATCATAATGAAGAAACAAAGAGGAGAAACAAATTACCAAACAGGAAGGCATCTAAACTCTTGTTTGGCATGTACTCATAGACTAACATCCTTTCATCCCCTTGAGTGCAACATCCCAGAAGCCTAACCAGATTTCGATGCTGAAGCTTTGCCGCTAGCGCTATCTCAGCCTTTAGCTCTTCCAGACCTTGTACTGAAGCCTTCGAGAGTCTCTTTACAGCTATTTCCTGTCCCAACTTTCCCTAACGTTTCACCAAACAACAATACTAGAATTCAAAAAAATATATATCCTAGAACCAAGTATGACTGTAACTTCTTTTCTCTTTCGGACTCAGTCACTAGGAGATTCCAAATTTCCAAGGTCGAGGAACCAAATTAATGAATTAGTAGATTTTTACCTTGTAAACAGGACCAAATCCACCTTCTCCAATCTTATTATCATCAGAGAAATTGTTGGTTGCTCTCTCTATGAGATCAAAATCAAACAGAGGCAGCTCCATGCTATCTTCTCTAGTACTTTCTTCAGCATTTTCATTAACAGAAGTACCTAGAATTATTTTTATTATTAATTTACATATTTAAAAACTAACCATTTATAACAATGATGTGATCAGGAGCTGTTTCCATATTCAATTTTTTATGGAAGTGTATTCATGACGTCATACCTCTACTTCTTTTCTTCTTCCTCAATGTATAGAAAATAATACAGGCAAGTATTAGTATCGCCAAGACTACACTCAGCACGACAGCTAAGATTGTGTGCCCTCGTTTATGAGACTGGCTTGATATTGATTCTGCAAACCACCAACACCACATTTTTATTACAAACTCAATGTATGTAATTTCATAATGACTGATATGAGAATACTTCCCGAGATCAACTATGTAAGTGGATACAATTGATTCCAGCACGCAGTTATTAAAAAAAACAGTAATAACTGGAGTTAAAATGGCTATTTGTGATCACTCATTTCGAAGATAACAGGAAAATACTCTGTAATTCAAGGCTTTTCCTAATTCTCCAAATTTTTTAGTCTAGAATTTTTCTTCATTCGATTACTAAACCTGTCACACCCCGGGCCCACGGGCCCGTTGGCGCGTGCAAGCCGTGGGACCCACCGAGAGCAACTCGATGTTGGCTAAAGTCCACTGCCAAAATGCTAGCACTAGTTGTTCTTAGGCCTTGGGCTTCTATATTTAAGCCACTAATATTTCTTCACTAGTCCATGGGGAACTAAAGTGTGGGTGTCACAATCACCTCACCTTACAAAGACGGCGTCCTCGTCGTCACAACATAACAATTGGTACATCCTAGTATCACTGTCAGGCGTGTGGACACCCCTACTTTAGTCCCACATGGATTAGTGTAAAGAATTGTTAAGTGGCTTAAATAGAGAAGCAAGGCCCAAGAACAACTAGTGCTAGCATTTTGGCAGTGGACTTTAGCTAACATCGAGTTGCTCTCGGTGGGTCCCACGGCTTGCACGCGCCAACGGGCCCGTAGGCCCGGGGTGTGACAAAACCAATTGTTCTTCACTTGGGGGCAAGAAGTCACTCTTCTGCAAAAGTCAATCTTACAGTCTACAGCATGCTTGCTGGTGAAACCGGCAACAGCATGATAGGAATTTTCTTCACTTACTTTACTAAATAAATTATAAATTAAATGGTTTAAAATGCTGTCCACATTTCTCTTTCTTAGGCTGGTAAGTAAGTCAATTGACCGACTTATGACTTTCATTTCCGACTCAAAATGCTGTCCACATTTCCTACTTTCATGAACAGGAAGAATCTATAAAACCAAGATTGTGATGCGAAAATAGCTTTTGAATATTACAAGCACGGTCATAAGCACTGCTTTAACTGACAAGGATCAAGACTCCGTACGCTTCTGGATGGATGACTAAAAGTCCAGAGTGAGAAAATTCCGAAAGGAAAGGAAATGAAACTATCAAGTTAGATATCTTCGTGTGATGTAGATAAGAATTTCTCAGAGCAAACTAATCTACACAGCTAATTTCATCTGCATTAAATGCTGATTTAAACTAATACACAGTAACCTGTCGGTCTCACATCGGACCTCCAAGGATCAGGCTGTGCAAAAGATAAGAATTCATAAGTTCTCAAACTCCGTCAGGTCCTACATTAGCAAGAAAATGTTGCAGCGGCTAAATAACATATGAAAACTAGCAACAAGAGTGCATACCTATATCTGCTGCTGCCAACCGCAGGTAGAACTCCTGTCCACCCATGTTGTACATTTGCACGTCCATAAGGTTACTAGTCCAGATAATACACCCCTGGATATCAGCACTAGCAAAACCTGTGCAAGAACAATCCCTCAAGCATTCTGCCCTACATTCATCGAAGCTCATACTCATGTCCACCGTTGCCTGCACCGTATCAGGTAAAACTGTCCTTTGCACTGGCACAAATCCATCAGTTCCATTCCTACAGTCTAATGATGTCTTCCTAATGCACCCACCAGTAAAGCCCTTTAAGGCCCAGTCATATGGTGACTTGGGCTCAAACCCCGGCAAGCAACTGCAAGCTCGTAGGGTATCAATGTAGCACAGGCTGTTGGGCCCACATACACCGAACAGGTCACACTGGGTCGCTGGTAAATACCGATACTGACCCCATTCACCAGAATCAAGCAATACTAATCTTTGTATGAGCCCAGATGGATTCACCACCAACCTAGTCAGCGTAGCATTGTTCACCATATCAGCCGTGTAAGTAACCTCGTTCTTGTTGTTAATGAAAGTGAATGAAAATGCGTCCATGGAATCGTTGTCATAGAATGATATTCTTCCAATCCAGGGACCAGACCTCCATTCTCGGACAGAACCAGCCCAAAATATCAATTGAGGATCACCATGGAGGTCGACTGCTAATGTGTATATTCCAGGTGACGGATCTGTAGAACTTGACCATCCAGTGAGGTTGCGATTCAGACCACTTTTAGCATCCCATCCGACCTTCATGCCCGGGATCAAAGTATCGGTTGGATAGTCAAAGCCCTGCCATGCTATGCTGTTAGAATCAGTGTCGTCAGCAACAACAAAATTACCAGTATCCAATAACTGGGCTATTGGATTAGTAGCTTGTTTCGTCGAAACAAATAACCAGATGATGGGGAAACCACCAGCAGTAATAACAAGACTTCCATTTTTGGTAATCGATAAGATTCCAGTGGTACCATTAATTGGGTGAAAGCGATTTGCCACCCAGATTACGGTCTGTCCTGGTATTTTGTTGTACCATATGCCGATGTATCTGTTGCTGGTGGTGGAGTTGTCAGGGGTAAAGAATCCCAGTGCAAAGGTTCCGGTAGATGAAAGCAAGACATCTCCATCGGCAAGATTCGTGGTAGGGGTAAGGGAGTCCCTGGAAGTGGAGGGGTAAAGAGAGAGAAAAATGATCAGGTAGAATAACGGTTTCCTGAGTGATTTGCTCATGGTTTACAAAACAAGTTTCATGTAGGGTGTCTTTGTAGGAATGAGATAGTAGGTTGGTGGTGCAACTTTGAGCGCCGTGAAGTCCTCCGTATGCATACATATTTCAATACGCAGATGATATTCAATATTCAAATGTTACCATAATATGAACTTTGAATGTTATTCGGAAAAAGATTGTGACTTGTTCCATCAACATCCCGTTAGGAGGTTATTTGACTCATCGCTTAAGAGACTGGAAGGTTCTCTAGCTTCTGGGACTCAATCAAATGCCATGACTAAGTCCCCTTGAATCGAAAATTAACCTTTGAAATCTGGATCAATCGTATGCATCCATGCGTATACTCCACACATAGGTTTCAAACATGGGCTGGGGCCCTGCAATTGGATGGTTGTTGTTGAGTAAAAAAGAATACACTGACTTAAATAAAAAGACAATGATGCAAGGAGTAATAGCGACGTATGAAAAATACTAGAAATGCCACCGTAGATTAGTAGGTGTTGTTCATCTCTGTGTTATGCAAGAATAAAAGCTCAAATATTTAACTTTACATGTTAAAGTCTGACTCCTTGCTAGATAATTATTGTGCAAAAGATAAGAAATACAAGATTGTTTACTAGATGTTCATCTTACTGACTCCTTGCTTCAGAGGTAAACAGGCAAAGACCTGCACCATAATACAGGTAACTCAAAGGATAACAATTCTATTGGGTGATTATCCAACTTGCAACAGCTAAGAAGGATTGAGATTTAAATTTCTGTCATGAAACATAAAGAAAGAAATTTATATGATGTTTCTTTGATAGCCATCACACGCTGATAAAATGATGGGTAATTAACATAAGTAGGTTCTTGCTCATGTAAAATTGGACTAATCAAAATTACCATAACAAAGCCTAGAGGTAGCATCAACATAGAACATTTCACCTTTCACCAATCTATCACTATCCATAACTTGTACTTCTCATTTTAGCTTGTTCGAAATAGTAACCGGCAGAATTTGCATAACAATATCTTGAAATAGCAATGTTAAGTTTCAAGTCTATCAAAATAAAAACACATTGATGAATCAGCCATCAAAAGGTTTTGCCCAAAGGAGATCATTCTGTGCAGAGTAGCCTACAGGGTTCTGTTCCATATGACAAATGAGCGCGAAGGTTTGAATGGATTGTGTTTTGACATTTTACATCAATCTTACACCATTAAAACGAACAAAAAGAAGGTGCCCATTCACGAAGGGGCTTCTAATTATATGACTTGTTGCAAAATACCTCATGGAGAAAGTTGAACTGCAGAGTACTTCCAATTTGCTTTATCCGGAAAAGCTGAATATCTTTGTAGAGATGATACATCGATGGCAGAAAATAAATTAGACAATGATGATTATAAAGAAAACTAGCTCTCTACACCAACAATGATACAGAGGAGTTTATTATTGTCAGAGAAAAGAAACGCAGATAATTAATCATTAGATGTTCCACCCCTTGAAATAAATGTCATACCATAATGATACAAGACAAGAAAAATTGGAATAAAAGTCATACCATAATTAACCACTAAAAGGGTTTACGTGTATCGCCCACTAACAGAACCATGTAACAAACACACTAACAATTATCTATCTAAAGATATAGTTAGTGTTAGATCGTTTATACTAGAGCTTTCCTTCACTGGAGACGAACTTCCTGTAGGAGATAGCCTTGCCATAAAACCTGGTTGTTTAGGCTCTGGCAGAAAAGCATGATCACTGCCTAACATCAAAACAACGGATGACATGATCGGTCTATCCTCCGGTTGCTCTTGGACACAAAGAAGCCCCACTTTCATGCATCTTAGAATTTCAGTCATAAAAACTGAGGCATCCAATGACGCATCAATTAGTTGCAAGCTATTACCTTCTTTCCACAATGTCCATGCCTGGAAGAATTAAAACAGCTAATTGTACTTACTTTTCCTAAGAGATATTCCTCGGCCGCAGAGAGATATACCCCTTTATTTCTCCTTCCGCTAATGATTTCTAACACTAAAACCCCAAAGCTGAATACATCAGATTTTACTGAGAAGATCCCATTCAATGCATACTCTGGTGGCATGTAACCACTACATTCAATCAAACACTAAATTATGTATTGCGGTAACTGAAACTAAATTGACCAATCACTATCAAAGATGGATATTTCTTACTATGTCCCAACTACTCTCCTTGTCTTTGTTTCCGTCTCATCTTCTCCAAAAAGTCTGGCCAAACCAAAGTCTGATATTTTGGGAATCATATCTTTGTCAAGAAGGATGTTTCCAGCTTTAAGGTCCCTATGGATGATTCTGAATCTCGAATCTTGGTGAAGATAGAGAAGTCCTCGTGCAATTCCTAAAATGATCTGGTATCGCACTCTCCAATCCAATAATGCCACTTTTTGTTCATCTGACCAAAATCTCATTGAAGTTAGAAATACCAAGACTAAAGGGTGTGTGGTCGTCTTTAGAAAGAAAGCTTTCCGGAAAACATCATTTCTAATCTTCTCAGTTTGAGACGTAATGTTTTTGTATGCAACTAAAAGGAAATGATGCATTTTATCCATTTATGCAATTAAAATGTGATTGAAAGGTAGGAAACTAAAAAGTGGTAAAGTACTAAAATAAAAATCATTTCAGCTATGCATCTAAGTTGCATGGGAACATGTATGGGTACCAGTACGGGGTGCAAGTATGGTCGCGAGATATGGAAAAATTGCAAAATGGACTGTACAAGGACACAGCTACATATATGTATTGAAATTAATAATTTACATGAGATCATTACAATTCCTATTACATTTAAGTTTCTTTTATTATGTTAATTTTTCTAAATTAGAAACTACTTGCTTTTGAACTAAACACCTCCTTTAAAATCATAATTTTTAACCTGGATATGGGCTGAAACGAACCCCACCCAGGTCTGAAAAGTTTTAAAAAATGGATGTGAAGTATAGGATATACGTCCAAGAAGTATTTAACAAGTGTTTCAAACTATGCATACATCATATAATTGAGTAAATGTCTGAATAAATGTATGCATATATCCAAGGAGTGCCCATGAAATTTGAGTATGGGTACGTGTCAGGTACGTGTCTAATACGCATACGGGTTCATGATAGAAATACCTAGGAAACTTCAGGAAGAATCAACCTGAAGACATAGGGAACCCGTCTAGCTAGGATTTTATGGAGCAAGACTAGGGCTTAGATTAAAAGCTTATACACATTTCAGTGTTGTTTATAGTTATCAACCAAATAAATTAGCCAAAAAATCCATAGCTAGAGATCCTCCCATTTGTCCTTTGTCTTTCCACTAATCAAAACCATCAACACTAGCGTTCAAAGTCCAAGACTCCATATGATAAAGGAAGATTATCTAACTAGGATTTGATGATGTACAACTGTGATTAAAGTAGAGCTCATATATATTCTCCATGTAATTTTGACCCGACAACTAATCAACCAACTTAGAAAAATGGATTCTTCCAGAGTCCAATAGCTAAAGATCTTATTTTCCCTTGCCTCCTCACTCATCATCTTAGTTAGATAACTACCAATAGAAGGACTATAGTCCAAATGCCCAAATGACAAAAGACAACTATCTAGATTATTGATTGGAGATTAGAGTGAACAAGCATCACAATCTATAGTTTCTTTGACATAAAATCAAGGTATGACATCTAACGTTGAATATAAATTATGTGTCATATAAATTGCTAGATTCAGATTTTTAAGTTTTGTAGGTTACTATGTTATTATGATTAAGACAAATGTCAAAACATACATTAAGAGACATTAGCCCAAATGTCCATTTTGTAATTATATGGTGCTTTGCATATTCAGGAGGCGCAGTTGTTACCACCGATCTTCAATAATAGAATTTCTTATGTGCTCACAATTGGTTAATAGTTGAAATTTGAATCTCTTTGTGCACCTATTCACACACATACCGGTTCACGTGCATCTAGGTTACTCAAACATCCGTTTTGGATGCATATCCGTGCCAAACATGTGTCGAACACGGGTTCACCACAGACATGCCATGTACAATCCGTTTTGGATGCATATCCGTGCCAAACATGTGTCGAACACGGGTTCACCACAGACATGCCATGTACACGTGGTTCAAAGCAAAACTTGATTTCCTACATGTGTCGAACACGGGTTCACCACAGACATGCCATGTACACGTGGTTCAAAGCAAAACTTGATTTCCTCTGTTACTTATAACCCTAAACTATTTTCTTGGATATATCAAGCCCTAAACCAATAGGTTTGTGAATGCAATAACCTAACCATTACTTAAAGATTTGTAAAATACCCATCATGTCCCATGCGATCAAAACTATACTTTTGTTGTTAAACCTTAATTCCTAGTTTGATTTAATTTGATTCTTAATTGTTATAGACAGTAAAAGAAACATACAAATGTTATGGATATTTTAATTCAATGTTTGATCTAAGGTGGATATTATAGATATGCATATATATGTGCATGTGTGTATCCATGTCCCCTTATCTTGCCTTTTATAAATTTTCCATGTCCCGTGTCCGTGTCCGCACCCTCACCTGTATCTGTGCAACCTAGACGTGCATGCAAAACACGAACTTGAACATGCACACATATATGCAAACCAATACACACACCCGCACATTCACAACTGGATGCACATCTACCCGCTCATAGGAATTTTTAATGTCGTCTATGAATTTCGCGAAAAACTTCAATTTAAAATTCCGTGAAATTTATCACTAGTTTGGACGAATATCGACTACCTACAACTTAATTAAACAATTTTTTTAATGAAAACTTAAGTAGTGCCCAGAACATATATTCCAGAAATGATTCTAACAAAATGACACAATAATGCAAGCATATGGTGAGATGATTGGCAAAACATACTTAAAAAGAGAGAATGAAATAATGGACGAAATAGAGGGGAAGCAATTACCAAACAAAAAGGTATCTAAACTTTTGTTTGGCATGAATTCATATATTAATATCCTTTCATCTCCTTCAAGGCAGCATCCCAGAAGCCTCACCAGATTTCTATGTTGAAGCTTGGCCATTAATACTACCTCGGTCTTCAGCTCATCCAGACCTTGTAATGAGGTCTTGGAAAGTCTCTTCACAGCAATTTCTTGTCCCTCTCTTATATTTCCCTAATTGGGAACCATAAAAGAAAATAGAATAAACTTTTACTTTCGAACATATTTTCTAATTTTGAAATATCCATAGTAAACTCGTGAAGAACCAAATCAATAAGCATGTTAAATTTACCTTGTAGACAGGACCAAAGCCACCTTCTCCAAGCTTATTTTCATTAGAGAAATTGTTTGTTGCTGCCTCAATTTCTACCAATTCAAAGAGCGGCAGCTCCATATCATCTTCTTTAACGAAAGCATTCCCTAACAAAGAGTTTTTGCATTTATTGAAACTATAAGTTCACAATGTAGTTATGTATTATGTGATAAGATAGGAGTATGTTAATGTTCAATAGAAAGAAATAAATACCTCTAGTCCGTTTCAACTTCCTCCATGCATAACAAGCAACACTGGCAAGTATGGATATTACCCCCAAGACTACACTTAACGATACTGCTAAGGTTGCATCTCCGCTCTTATGAGATTGACTTGATATTAAACCTGTAAGACACCAAAACTGCTCAATCAAGAGTTGCTTTTCCCTATATACAATAACTATTGGCTCTGACCACTAATAGATGTTTTTGATGATTCATACATCAGATGGATAAGGCATGAACCTAAGCCTTGAAGAACAACAAAAATAGTAGCCGAAAAATAGAACAGTGATGCACTGAAGAAAGCAGCTTTTAATTTCCAAATCATAAATCGGGTTAAGAACAAAGCTTCCTCGATTGATCAACACCCAAAAAATAATGTGTGTGTGTGTGGGAGTTAGCATTATCGAGAGGCAAGAAGAATGCAGTTCATAAGTGACTACCTATGTCTTCCGCAGCCAAACGTAAATAGAAATCTTGGCCACCATCCAAATACGATACAATGTCCATTAGGTCCATGGACCACATAATGCACCCACTTCCACTCCCGCTTTTGTCAGCACGAGAAAACCCAGTGCAAGAACAATTCTTCAAACAGGCAGCTCGACATTCATCCAGGCTCATTGTCCTATTTACAGTCGCGGTCACTGTGTCTGGCAAAAGCGTTCGGGGAACAGTCACAAATCCATCAGTCCCATTCCTACAATCCAGTTTCGTCTTCCTGACACACCCATCAAAAGCATATCTTATAGCCCAATTTGCTGGTGATTTAGGCTCAAACCCTTGCAAGCAACTGCACATTGGAGAACCATTTGGATCACACGAACCATATGGGCCACAAGCAGCATACCCATCGCATTGGCCCAGTCCAGGGGCCGGACCGCCATTGCAGAATATGGCCATTCCAAAATATGAATTGGGGATCACCGCGGAGGTCCAAGGCTAGGGTGTAGTTACCAGGGGATGGATCGGTTGAGCTAGACCATGCTGTCAGGTTACGGTTGAGTCCACTTGTTAGGTTCCAACCTAGCTTCATGCCTGGTATAAGAGTATCGGTCGGATAATCGAAACTTTGCCATGCGAAACTATTGGAATCCGTTATCTGAGAATCCCCGACAACAAAATTGCCAGTGTCCAAGAGTTGCGCCGCAGGTTTTCCGACAGCCATCATCGACAGCGAGGACCAGAAGACTTTAGAGTTCCCATCAGTTATGAGGAGACTTCCATTGGATGTTAACATTAGGACTGCCGTAGGACCTGATACTGGATTTTGACGGTTCCCAACCCATATGACCCTCTGCCCCGGGATTCTTGTGTACCATATACCGATGTACCAGTTGTTTTTTGAGTTGGTGGGGGAAAAGAAGCCCAAAGAGAAGGTCCCGTCAAAGGAAACTAAGGTTTCATTGTCAAAGAGGAGCTGATTTGGGGTTAGGGTGTCTCTAGAAACAGAAAGAGAGAGCAAACAGAGGATGAAAAAGAGAAAAAGGAAAGATTTGTTGTATGACTTTCTCATGTTTCACAGGAGAAAGTCCAAAGAGAAGGTCCCGTCGGAGGAAACTAAGGTCTCGTCGCCAGAGAACGAACAGAGGAGGGGAACTTCCACACGGAAACAAATGGAGGGAGGGAACTTCCACACGAAAACAAATGAAAATGAGAGATGAATCTCACAACTATTGATCTTATCAATTTATGAACTGAACAACTCACCTGGGCTCAATGTAAAAAAAGCCCCAATCCAAGGTGAAGGTGATGACGAATCCCATTCTGCGGTTCAGTTGGAGAGCTGACGGAACAGAGAAGAACCTGCGAAAATATTTGCAGAGGAATTTGATAAAAGAGAGAACTTTCAATTTCAATTGTTTTGGTTTGCTGATTTTTCAGGGGGAATTTTTATTTAAAAAAAATTGACAACAAAAAATGTTGAGAAAATCTTTGCGGAGGAAGTTGATAAAAGAGTGAACTTTCAATTTCAATTATTTTGGCTGGTAGCTCCTAAGAAGGTTCTGTTCAAAGGAGATCATCCTGTGTAGAGCAGCCTAGCGGGCTCTGTTCCATGTGACAAATAGAGGAAATCAAGGAAAATTTCGACAAATAGAGGAAATCAAGGAAACAAAATCAAGGTTTTGTTTCAAATCCTATAATTTTAGGATATGGATTTCATCATGGGATTTCAAATTCATAGATGTTTTGTTATGGGTTGGGATTCCTAAAACTTCGTTTGTTTCAACAATATTTTGGGATTTTGAATACTATAATTTGTAATATTTTGTTTGTTTCAAACTCAAATTATAGCATTACAAATTTTGGAATTTGAAATCCATAGTTGTAGCAAACAAATTTTAGGATTACCAAAATAATAAATGGTGAATATAAGAACTTTGGTGAGCTTACCTCCCACAAAAAAACAATTACAAATGTATTCAATTGGGGTAAGCATACACATTCAAATTTATACTCCAACGGCTATAAACGGTCATAAAATAACCCTAGACAATGTAAATAATAAAATGCAAAAATAAATAATCTCAGAAAATGGTCATTTTATTTTCAACACCTATATAATGAAATTGCATTGCAGATTGCATTCAAATAATGGACTGCCTCATCTAAAAATTGCAAAAGCAATATAGACTGCATTCTCATTCATGAACGCCTCCTGTAAACAATGAAATTCCATTGTAGTCAGCAATATCAATATGTGACCAATCATCATAGCTAAATCCGAAAAACTCAAAAAAACCACTTATAGCCTGTAAACAATGAATTCATTAGATTGTAGAAGAGAACAGTAAGGGGTATATATAGGATGAAAACCAAGGCTCAAAACCCAAGAAAATCCAGCAAAAAGACAAAACTGCAAAAGGCTGGAAAATAGCCGTTGGGGCTTATCGGTCGACTGACGGCTCGGATCAGTCGACTGATGAGCTGATCGTTATCTGAAACTGGCAGCTCATCGGTCGACTGATTACTCATCAGTCGACTTGCATAGAAGCAGAGACTTTTGATAAATGCAGGCAGTTTCATCAGTCGACTTGTCAGTCGACCAGCATAGAAGCAAAGACTTGTGATAAATGCAAACAGTTTCATCACTCGACTAACCAATCGACTGATAACCAGTTTTCAGCCTGTATTGATTATGAAATTGAATTTTAAAGTCATTTAAAAAATAGCAAATACCAGTTTGCTGAGGTGGATGTGTTTTGTCAGAGATCCAGCCCACATCCTCTATGAAATGTGGGATTTTACAAATCCTAAAAAATATTAGTTTTTTATAATTTGGGGATTCAATATTCTAAAATTTGTTTTGAAACAAACAAAGTTTATGGAATTCTAAAACCCAAAAAAACCCACTTTTTGATCCTAGAATTTGAAATCCCACCCAAATGCCAAAAAAATTTTGAAACAAACACCCCCAAAAAGTCAGGGCGGCGTTTTTTTTTAATTAACAACAAAAAGTGCTAGAAAAAGATAACTGCTATCGGCGTTTTTTTTTTCTAGCAGTTATCTATATATTGTGACACTTGATTATGATGGGATTACATAGTAAGGATTTTAAATGTGTGGTAAAGATAACTGCTAGAAAAAGATGTAGATCCTCTAATAGTTCTCAAATTAGTCTCAAAGTCCTTTTAATCGGCTAAAACCTGGACTCACGCAACGGTGTCAATTTTTGTAAAATCCGCATTACATTTATGGCCACAATGGGATTCGAACCTGGACTGGTCCGATACCATCTTAAATTAAGTCCCTTTAATCATTACACGAAAGCTTCAAAGTTATGGTGAGAATTGAGGTTTATATTTTTACACTCTAACAATAGTGGTTAGTACATTCATATGATGAAGTCGATACTGGTATAGGGTAGATGAACTGGGATCATCTCTTTCTCTTTTTCAGCAATATTGAATGAGACCGAATACACCTTATTAGCTTTTGCTTGACAACCTAATTTTCGGTCGCGGCTGTTATATTTGTGTTCTCTCTTTTTCTTTATGCATCTCTTATATCCAATCTGGTGGCAGCCCTAACAGGACTGCATCACCAACTTATAATAGGATCCACATCCACATCACATGCATCATTTAATGAAAAAGCCCAAAGCAAAGGTTTCATTAACAGGAACTAGCATCTCATTGGTGGAATACATTAAAGATGGAGTGATAGTGTCCCTAAAAAAAGAAGAGGCAAAGTGACGCAGCGCGGAAGTGATAGCCTCGGAATCCATCAATGGGGCGTTCTCTGAATCCACAAAGAACAATCTCCGAATTCACGAAGAAAATATTGAAAGAGAAATTTTACTGATAAAACATTTTTTTTTGTTACATGTCTCTTCTTAAGGGGCTTTTAACTCGGTGGAAAAGTTTTACACCGCCTCCACATCAGATTTTTCATGACCACGTAGGATATAAGCTTTCCGTCGGTTTTTTTCCCATCTTTGGTTCGCTAGGGTTGAAGAAGGGAAACTCGGTGAAAATCGCCGCCACATCAGATTTTTTTTCTTCCCCAATTCCTTCCTCAACCTCGTGAAATTGATGAAAACTGTAGCCACGTCAGCTTTTTGCCATATAAACAAAAGTTTTCCCTTTTTTCCATGCGAACCAAACACAAGAACCATATAAACAAAAGTTTTCCCTTTTTTCCATGCGAACCAAACACAAGAAAAATAAATACATTGGTTTCTCACCATTTTTTTTGCGAACCAAAGCGAAACAATCTATTTCTTGGAAAAGTTTGGAAAACTCAAAACTTGTGTTTTTGTATATGAAAATACATTTCCTTATATCTAGGAAACGTACCAAACAGCCCCTAAATAGAAAAACATATAAGACTCCTAGTAATACTAGAATTACAAAAAAAATAGAAAGTATCAAATTCTATCCTAAAAAGACTCCCTATAATAAAAGAAATAAATCATGAACCAAAATTGAATTTGTTTCCTAATCTAATTTGGCTCTAAAATTAAATTTATTTCCTAATCTAAATAGACTCCAACTTTATTACTAAAAATAAACTAAAGGCTGATTATTTTTAGATTTCAGCCAAAACTGGATGTAACTGATGAGATTTTAAAAATCTGACAATCTAGTTGTGATTATTTTTAGATTTCAGCCAAAACTGGATGTAACTGATGAGATTTTAAAAATCTGACAATCTAGTTGGCTCCGTCTCGTCGATTAGGCGAGTTACATATATAATATGTTAGAATCCGCCTTCTGGGTTAGAAGATATGATCATTTCTTTGCGGAGGTCAATAATACGTATAAATCTATATTTAGCTCGTGATTGTCTGCATCCCTCATGAAATTGTCAGTTAAGCGTCCTACATCAGTCTCCCCTTGTTGAAAGAAGATCGACCTAGAGCTTATATTTGCTTGAAAAGTAACTTCATCGATAAATATCTTTCTAACCTGCATTGATCATCATCCACCTTGTACTTAGCATTGATTTTCTTCATTTGTTCTTTTACGTTCTCGGCTAGGACTTCTTCTGAATCAAATTCATATATTATTCTTCCTGACATCATGTGTATTTTATTGGCGGCATGTGGATGTGCAGTTGACTTCAAAAACTCCACAAAATATGTTCCATGTTGCTTCTCGTATTCTAGTGCTTGAAGTATCATCAAATTCTTTTTAAAATTATTCACCAACTTTGCTTCTAGGGAAGAAAATCCCGCATCATACTCCATACACAATTCTTTCATCTCCTTTGTCTTTAGCCCTCCACCAAGCAATTCACACATATCATTAATTGTCTCACTCTCTAATTTATCCTTCTCCTCCATCGGGACAACATTAATATGTGTAATATCACTCTCAACCCCTTTGAGAATATCATGCATATCATCCATCTTCACTATCATATCACCATAATGAATCTCATGCATAACGATTGTTTGCACCTTAGGAGGAATTTCGGTAGGGGCAGGTTCTTCTTTTTTAGTTACAACCAAGTCATAGACCTCTTTAGATTGCTTCAAGTTTTCTGCTAAAGCATCGTTGTTTGCCACCAAAGGTTTCTTCTCCTTATTAGCTTTTATCTTAGATGGCTTCTTTTCTGTAAGAGGCGAAGTACAATTTAGCGTTCATCTTTATTGAAGATATAAACATTGTCTCTACTTTTGTGGGTAGCTCCAATATCAAATTGTCATGGCCTACCTAAAAGCATATGACAAATATCCATCTCGACCACATCACACAACACATCATCAAAATACCTGTGACCGATAGAATAAGGTACACGACACATCTTATCGTTCTGCACATCATTGCCCTTGTGAATCCAGTCGATCTTGTAGAGAGGTGGGTGTTTCTGTCTTCAAACCTAACTTATTCACCATACGCTGAGAGACAAGATTCTTTCTACTGTGATTGTTAATAATAACATCACAAATCTTCTGCATCACAATGCACCTCGTGCGGAAGATATTATGCTCTGGAGGTGATTCTTCATTCTTTATTGCTTCTTTAGTGCTCTTCCCAAGTCTAAGGTCTTGCTTAGGGTCATTGTTGCTGTTGAATTCATCATGTGGAGTCGAATCACGTCACTGGCGACCATCAACGCGATTTCGAACTCCTCTCGTGTTCAGACGCTCCATTGCCGACGTAAGTCGCTCTACGACAGTCTTCATCTGATTAACACCGGTCTTCAGCACGTCGAACTCAGTTCGAGAAGTATGGGCTACATCACCTGCTATCGGATCGGAGGAACAAGGCTCTGATACCAATTGACGCAGCGCGGAAGTGATAGCCTCGGAATCCACCAAGGGCGCGTTCTCTGAATCCACAAAGAACAATCTCCGAATCCATGAAGAAAATATTGAAAGAGAAATTTTATTAATAAAACAAGTTGTTTTTTTTCTTTTGTTACATATCTCTTCTTAAATAGAAAAACAAATAAGACTCCTAGTAAGACTAGAATTATAAAAAAATAGAAAGTATCAAATTCTATCCTCAAAAGACTCCCTATAATAAAGGAAACAAATCATGAATCAAAATTGAATTTGTTTCCTAATCTAATTTGACTCTAAAATTGAATTTATTTCCTAATCTAAATAGACTCCAATTTTATTACTAAAAATAAACTAAAGGCTGATTATTTTTAGATTTCAGCCAAAACTGGATGTAACTGATGAGATTTTAAAAATCTGACAATCTAGTTAGCTCCGTCTCGTCGAGATAGACGATTTACATATATAATATTTTAGAATCCGCCTTCTGGGTTGGAAGATATGATCATTTCTTTGCGGAGGTCAATAATACGTATAAATCTATATTTAGCTCGTGATTGTCGGCATCCGTCATGAAATTATCAGTTAAGCGTCCTACATCACAAAGAATAGCATCCTCAAAGTGATTAGTTTTCTCATGCACAGATAAAAAGCAATGTTTATCAAGGAAATGACTGGTTCATCACACTTAGGGAAAAAAGGATTAAATCTCAAAGTTTACATCTCATCTACATCACCAATACCTATTATTTACAATCAATAATATGTGGTCTAGTCCAATTCAAACAAGTTGGATAATAGGCTAGATTAGTTGGAGACAAACTGACCAGTACCTTTTCACCTTATGAATATGAATGCTCCATCCCCATAAGAATTTAACCACACTATTATTGAGGTAGAACTGATAAAAGTGCTTATTACCTGCCTACAAGCATTGTAATTGTTACACCATTCACACTGTGTAATATATCCATCTTTGACGATGAATGATCAGTCAAAAAATGCTTTCTTGCCACAAAACCTGGTTGTTTAGGCTCAGGCAGCAAAGCGTGGTCACTATCGCCACCTAACATCAAAACAACAGACGACATTGTTGGTCTGTCCTCAGGGCTCTCCTGAACGCATAGCAATCCAACTTTCATACATCTTAAAACATCAGCGGTACCAATTGAGCAATCCAAGGATGCATCAACTACTTGCAAGCCTTCACCTTTCGTCCAAAAATTCCAAGCCTGAGATAATTAAAATCAAATACAGTTTGTGTGTTAACAATAAATATATGGCTGTACATAGTGCATCATAAAAGAAGTAGAAGGTTGTATTTAGTTTATGGCACTTACTTTGCCTAAAAGATATTCCTCAGACCGAGAGAAATAGACTCCTTTGTTTCTTTTGCCACTTATAATTTCTAATACCAAGACCCCAAGCAAATACATCGATTTATGAGAATGATACCATTCACGCATACTCTGGAGCCATGTATCCGCTGCATTCCATCAATACAAAAATTAGACATTTGGAAACAACAATACTAGACTTGGACCATTAAAACACTAGTAGAAACAGACAGGCATTGGCGACGGGGAAATCCGTCACCAATGCCCCAAAATCCGTCACAATACATATTAGCGACGGGCCCCATTTCCGTCGCCAATAAATCCGGTCGCCAATAATATTGGCGACGGTTAACCCGTCGCCAATACTTATTGGCGACGCACGCTATTGGCGACGGATTTTTTGGCGACGGTTACTTCCGTCGCCAATAAACATTGGCGACGGGGTGATCCGTCCCAATGTTCAAACATGGCGACGGATCACCCCGTCCAATGTTTATTGGCGACGGGGTTAGTCCGTCGTCAATGTTTGAACATTGGCGACGGATACCCCGTCACTAATGTTTATTGGCGACGGGAAATCCGTCGCCACAATGTTTAAACATGGCGACGGATACCCCGTCGCTAATAAACATTGGCGACGGGGTAGCTCGTCGCCAATGTTCTTGACATTGGCGACGGATCACCCCGTCGCCAATGTTTATTGGTGACGGGTAGTCCGTCGCTAATGTTTTAACATTGGCGACGGATTACCTCGTGGCCAATGTTTATTGCCGATGGATTTTGCCGTCGCCAATGTATATATTTACACAAAAAAAAAATTTAATTTTTCGGTAGCCTCCCATACGAGAGAATACACATATAACCTGTATCGACATCAATCCAATGATAATATTTAACAATATATCATAAAACCAACCATGATATACATTCACATTCCACACTCATTCAATTTCATCCGTCAATCCACAATATCGAATAATACTCGTCATATAATCACAATCACAATACATCTCGCATGCTCAAATAATATTCATTCACTACGCAATAAAATCACATATATATTTTATATATGTAAAATTCAAAAGTCATGATATGTCTTAACACAAGTCTCACTCACTCCTCGTCATCGTCGGCATCCCTGTTATCAGCATCGTCTGCATTAGAACGTCGTATCGTACTACTGCTTCCTACAATACCTCCTCCAACCTGAAAAGAATATCACTCCACATAAGATATATATATACCAAAAATATAATAATAAATACATATATGTCGCGTCATATATACCTCTCCACCACCATGAACTTCATGCTCGGCAAACGCCAACTTAAAGATCTCTAAGTATATCGACTCAGGAAGAATCTCCTTCAACGATGGACAATCAATGAGGCGCTGCACAACATCCCAAGTCGATTGTGCACCCCCTAGTTCGCGCGTAATAATGGGAATAAATTGAAAAAACATCGAGGGTTGAACATTGTCCATTAAATACTGTCCAATTTTAGCCACGACGTACGATGTCACACTTGGTCGATTTGAGGTCGCGGACGAGTCATTTTGTATATTCCTGCTAGTGGAGACTATCCTAACTTTTGCACTTGATAAAGGCACCCTCCCTTTCTTGATTGGTTTAGAGCCATAAACTCCATCAACAATTTCCCTCCATTGCTCTCTAGTCATGCGATTAGGATCGGTAGGAGTGTTCTCTATGCTCTGAGACTGGGACAAGACAAAGTCTTGTGAAGCTTCAAGCGCCTCCTAATAACATATAGCAATAGAAATAAATAAATTAGGGCAGTCTTAAGCAATGGAACTCAACCAATAGAAATAAATAAATTAAGACAATGTTATGAATTAAGTGCAAAGCTATATGATCACTTTCTTATTTCATTTATAGTCGACCTTTTCAGCTATGATTCTGAAAGAAAAAGATTTGTCACTGGACATGCATTTTTTACCTTCTTCGTCAAACATACTGGTATAATATGAGCCGTGCAGCCTAGGCTTTAAGTTCATGACTGTTACAAATACATCACAGCTAGGCTTGAAGTTCATGACTCTGTTACAAATACCCGGAAGATAACAGCTAGGCTTGAAGTACGGGAGCAAATTGCAGATAAGGCCCTCCCTGTTTACATATTTGCATGACAAAGGACCACAGATTTTGATCATCTCTGTAATTTCAGATCAGAAGTATTGGAGTGAGCCTAACTAGTCTAGAAAAAATAAGGTGAACTGCATGTCCCTATTCCTAGTCGGGGATGGAACATGGTTATCAAGTGCCCGGGGTCATAAAGTGTGACACAGTAACTTTTAAACATGAAGGGATGACGACATTTCCGTAGTAAATTTATATGCATATTTATGTGCATTCTTGCATTCAGCATATGATATGGTTAGAAATGTTATCACAATTTTTAGCAAAGTGTGAAAAGTGAATGTGAAAGTTCCAGTATATACCAAGTAAAGAAACACGATGAATAAGCATGCACGCATATCCTTATTTAAGGCCTTACACAGGCAATATCTGCATTTGGAAAATATATGTAAACTTGATGATGAAGCTATCACTTAATTCAGCAAAAACATCAATTGTTCCAATTTCTAATAACGTATGAAAATAGTAACATGAGTTGAGTTTTAATATTTTGATCTAACCGGATTTTCACGCAAATATTTATGCTCGATCCGAGCGTAGGGAGTAGCTCCTAGAAAGTGATCATATAGCTTTGCACCGCGATTAGCCGATGCTATCGAACATTTATCCTTCAAAATAAAGTAATTTTTCAGTATATGTGGTGGTAATATAATTAATTAAAAAATAACTCACCTTCTTCTCGCCCTCCCACTCGATAATGAGAGTCATCCAATTATAAGGAGGAACCCTCTTATCAAGCTGATGAATCCGCTTCCAATCAATGGTTATATCTGTAAAGTATTGACTCTTAAGTCTACTCCTCCACCCCCGAAGCATCTTGCTCGCTCTACTCATTACGTAATCCCAAGAGTCCGGGTTGTCCTCAAGGCAATAGTGATTCTACAAATTAGGTGTTACAAAAACATGCAATATTAAAAAATTAAATAAATATTTATTGAAAAAACAATATAACGAATAATTACCATGAGCCTCTCCCATATCTTCTTTATTCCATTCCATTGTTGTTCATCAAAGTTATGAGCGATGTTAATATGGTGTGGGTCTTTGATTAAACAACCGATCAAATTATTAAATCTGACGGCGTCATCTCCAACTGGAATGTTGCCCATCCACCCCAAAATGGCTCGATAACCTTTAGGAGGTACCTTCGTAAACAGATCACTGCCGTGTCTACCGGCCTTCTCGTAGTCCTTGTTCCCTACAAAGATAAAGAGCGATATTTTTTTAAAAACTTCAATAATTAAATAACGAAGATTGATCAATATTTTACATGATATTCTTACCCATTTCCCTCAACTTATCTGACATCGCCTTTTCTAGTCTCTGCTTTATTATACTATACTTGTTTTTAATGTCTTCTCTCCTTTTTTTATAGTTCCCATCGCATTTCTTTTGCAATGTGATAGCCTTTTCTGGTAAGGGGATGGAATTTACTGCTTCAGTCCATGGACGGAGACATTCAACCTCCGACTGAGAAGATCTCGCAAAAGACTCGTGTTGGATCTCGTCATCACCGGATCCATCATGATGATTGTCTGCAATATAAAATGTGAAATAAATATTTATATGGAACATAAAATATCCATGGACATTAAAATTAATACCTAGACCAGGCGATGAATCCCGATGATGACGTTGACTCATAGGTGGACTCATAGGAGATGCATGTGTATCTGTCCCCGCAATATCTACGAAAGTAATAAAAATAATATAGGTAAATAAGTTTCTCAATTAACTTAATGAAATTAAATAAATTAATACCTTCAACGGGTGAGGATCCATGTAGAGATAATGGACTACTATAAGGTCGTGAGGACATTCCTACACGTAAAAAATATAATTATAAATGCGAAATATGCATATCTATATCACAAAAACAATTTATTTGAACAAATTAATATTTATACCTGATGATGAATTTGCTTGATTGTGGGAAACTTCCCCTATGCGCTTTATCCTTCGGCTCATCTGCATCTTAAATGATTATTCAATTTATTGAAGCAAAATAAGTGAATGTTGAAAATTGCATTGACAAAATAAAAAATATATATTAAAACGACAAAGTTAATACTTTAAATTTTAAAAGTACTAATATTTCGACATTCAATCTCCTACATTACGAATATCAAGCCGATTTTGCGGAGTATACATATTAAAATTGACATTTTGCGGGTATGAGTAATTAGGAAAAACTTCTCCTTCAGTCTTATTTGGATCATCAGAACCCTCTATGTTTTCATCGAGAGAAAGTTCAACAAGAGTTCTCGGCTCCTTATACAATGCGACCCAAACCTTCGGCTGTCTAGGATCTTTGACATAAAAGCACTGAGTAGCCTGCTTTGCAAACATGAACTTCAAATCGGAGTAAATCTCCTTGTCTAGATTTACAAGATTAAAGCCATATGCATCTCTTGTTATTTCAGCATGACACCATCAATTATATATTTTCAGAATTAGTCACAGAGTGATTCGTGGGAGGTTTTTGCCATCACGGTGTGATTACTTCCTGATCGTTTCTTGAATATCAAGATGCATGGTAACTCCTACATATACCTCTAGAGAAGAGATTTAATTTCATGCATACGCTTAGTTTACAAATTAAACGAGCTCAAACCTCACCGCAATAGTTTCTCCGTCAGTAGACTTTATTATTTTAAAACTGATTGTCTGCATTGTTGATATGGAAAAATTAATGTCAGTCTTCTAATGGAAATCATTGGTTATATTTTTTGATTAAATGGAGATATGCTTTTGTAAGTGAGTATTTGCATGATTGTTGATGTGAAAAATATTTTGTAAATGCACAATATATATTTTGTATGCAGAATTAAGGGAAGAATAACTCCATTTTGCAAAGGGTTTCATTCATTTCTCCTTTTAGTGTCTTAAATTCTGTAACATTGATAACTTTTGAGCATAACTTTCTAAAAAATCCACAGAATTCAATTATAACCTTTGCTACTTCATCATCAACCATATTGTTACGGAGTGCCACAGGAAGCAATTGGTGAAGAAGGATGTGATAATCATGAGTCTTAAGTCCCAAAATTTTTCGCTCTTTCACCTGGACATTATTTGAAATATTAGAACAGTAACCATCTGGCGACTTTACCGATTTGAGCACCTCACAGAATCTTTGCATCTCAACCTTTGTCATCGTAATGCGAGATGAGGGCAACTCAAATTTGCCGTCAGTAACTTCTCGTGCTTGCAGATCATGTCGGATGTTCAATGCATTCAAGTCTCGCCGAGCTCGTAAATCGTCCTTTGATTTCTTACCATCTTGTAAGAGTGTGGACAACATGTTATCACATATATTTTTTTCAATATGCATTACATCTAGGTTATGCCGAATTTTTAGCTTTTGCCAGTACGGTAGCTGAAAAAATATACTAAATTTTGTCCATCCTTTTGGTAATTCCTCATCACGTGTCTCATCCGTAATGCACACTTTTCTCTTTCGTTTCGGTGCCTTCTTCATAATGGAAATGCGTCTTGGAGCTAGAATATCTTCTCTTGTATATCGGCTCTTTCCAAACTTATTTTTAGGATATCCCTCAAATAATTCTACAATTTCATCTCCAGTCATTACGTGCGGCTCTCCTCTTTTCTCTTCTTGGCCATCAAACTTATTCGCCCACCTTTTCCCTCTGTATTTATGTCCTTTACGTAACCATCTTCTGTTAAACCAATAACACATCTTTCTACTGTGTTGTAAATGAAAGCCTTCAAAGTTTGGACCACATACGGGACAAGCAAATGTTCCTTTTGTAGACCAACCGGAGAGATTAGCATAAGCTGGAAAATCATTAATGGTCCACATAAGAATAGCACGAAGATTAAACGTTTGACGGGAAAATGCATCATACGTTTGGACCCCTTCATCCCAGAGAAGTTTTAACTCATCAATTAACGGCTCCATGAACACATCTATGTCATTACCGGGTGAGTGTTTGCCTGGTATCAGCAATGAAAGGATCATATACGGTTGCTTCATACAAAGTCGAGGTGGTAAATTATAAGGTATTAACACAATGGGCCAAGTAGACCAACCTGAACTCATAATGCCAAACGGGTTGAATCCGTCACTAGATAGACCGAGTCTAACATTCCTGCACTCTGTGGAAAACCAAGGAAAAGATTGATCAACATGCTCCCATGCATCTGCATCTGCCGGATGCCTGAGTTTACCATCAACTACGCGTCCTTCCTTATGCCACCGCATGTTTTTAGCTGTGTCTTTTGTCATATACAACCTCTGTAAACGCGGTACTAAGGGAAAATGTCGGAGCACCTTCGCTGGAATTTTCTTCGGCTGCTTAACAGGCTCATCTGCCTTTCGTGTTGAAGTGCGTGTATTCTTCCTCCAACGAGACACTCCACACTTTGGACATTCTTCAAGCTTCTCATTATCCTTATAATACAGGATACAATCATTAGGACACGCATGGATTTTTGTGTAATCTAAACCGAGAGCGCCAACGATCTTATTTGCATCATAACATTTTTCTGGTATGCTATTCTCTCCATCCGGAATTACCTTGCGTAGTAAATTAAGAAGCATTTGAAAATATTTATCTGCCATTCCGCTGAGGGTCTTAATACGCATCAGTTGAAGAATAAACGACAATCTACTATACTCTGAGCAACAGGCATACAAATCCTTTTCGTCATCTTCTAATAACTTCATTAAACTTTTAAAGCTATCGGTATCACGCACATCATCAACATTTTCGACACCTTCTGCATCTTCGGGAACTTCAAGAACCTCCAAAAATTCAGCAACTTCTGTAACTGCGGCAATATCATTGAACATTGCATGTGTATCGTCTATTCTTAGATTTATTTTTCCGTCAACTGGTTCAATATCGTCATCTTCTCCGTGAAATCTCTAATATTTGTACTTTTCATCAAATCCCCATCTTTCTAAGTGTTTTCGTGTAGTAACTCTATCCACCAAACCCCTATTTCTGCAAAAACTACATGGACAAAACAGCAAATCATTTTCTAACTTCCTCGGATTCGCATACGCATACTCAAGGAACGCTTCCCATCCTTCACGATATCGAGTGTCACCTCCCGCTCTTCTTTTCATAATAGGAATATCAATCCACGACTTGTCAGGAACTTGTCTCATCTGTATATTAAGTATAATTATTAATTATCTTAATATCTCATAAAACGTTTTACTAAATTGGACTAAATTGGTCTATGTAATAATCATTGTTGTAGTAAATTGGACTAAACACTATGTACGTAATAAACTTCATTGTCTACATTTGAACAAACAATAGGTTAGTCTAAAACTTTCTCGGCTGTCATAGGAAGGCTTCTATCCCATTAAGAATATAGTAGTGCTTACATCTAACTTTGAATACTTTGTGCATTTTTATTTCTAGAAAATTTCGGCAGCACCTACCCGCTGTTCTCCGAGTACACTGTGCGGATATTATTATGCGTATCGATAATAGATTAAAATCGATAAATAATAGACCGAAACGCATAACAACATACGCTTATTGTACACGGAGAACAACAAGTACGTGCGACCAAAATTTTCTAGAAATAAAAATACACAAAGTATACAAAGTTAGATGTGTGCACTACTATATTCCTAACCCGTCCGAACTGGACAGATCCAATAGTTACGTACCAATTATTTCTACTTATAATATAAGGTAAACAATCAATTTCGGTATAGAATTAAATTTCATACCGAAATTTGAGTCGTCTATCTTATTTTATAACTCCAAAAAAATTGGTAGTAATTATTAGACGGGGATCTACGGTTGTCGTTAACTAATTTTTTATTCACCTATAATGGATATATAACATATTTTTTGTGTTATATATCACACTAAGTATAATTGGCATTAGAGTAGCATTTAAGTTCAGTTTTAGTAAGGCATGAATAGTATTGGTTATTGTTGGATTATTACGATATTAAGGTTATGATTAGGGTAATATTAGATTTTTGTGAAAGTAGAGTTAAAAATAGGTCATTTAGGTTTAGGATAACTACATTTGCATGATTATGATCAACTAACAACATTAAATTGCATAATAAGTTTATAATATTAAAAAACAAAAAACTAGAAATATGTGAAGACAAACCTTTCAATGAGGTGGAGGATGCCGACGGTGGTTGGAGTTGATGATGGAGGCGTTCGAATAATGAGTCTGCGATTTAGTATAATCAAAATCCAAAATATTTAATTAGTTAGGTAAAGAATAAAAATTATCTTTCAAATTGACTTAAAATTGACTTAAAAAGGACAAAATCATGCTATCTGATCACGTGACTACACACACGTCATGCTTAGAAAGAGGCATAAAAGGTCACATAACAATTTTTTAAGATCATAATGTTATATAACAAATTATCAACTTCTCTTGTGAGTATAAAACAAGGGCTTAACTTGTAACAACTTATGAGAATTAGCATGCATACATCCTGTTTACTTATTTGATTCAGATAACGTGGTCTGCGAAAGAAAGGTAACGGGCGGAGGCGAGCGGGCAGGGGGCGAGCGGCCGTTAGGTTTTGTTTGGGATCTGGAGATTGAGGAAAGAGAGATAGAGATAGGGGCTGAGAATGAGTTAATGGGGCGTCTGCTAGGGTTTTTTTTATTGGAAAGTTTTGGAATGTTTTAGTTTAACCCTTTAAAGTTTTAATGTTTTCAAATTGGTACCCTAAATCTTTACTTATGAAAGGGTTTCTAGAAAACAACGATAAGTCTAATAATAGGACTGTATAATGCAATACGTCGTTGACCGAGGTTAAATTAATCCCTCACATCTATTGCCTTTTCAAAATTACTCACTCAAATCATGAAAATTTCTATTACATCCCTCAAATCATCATAATATTTACAATTAGTTAACATCTGAATATACTACTTGCAAAAAGAACCATATCATCTAGATTTACAAATAGTTATCGAATAATTAATGATCAATCGAATCGAACATACCTGTGGTTAAATTCTATTCATTTATAAGTCGAATATTAAATTTTATTCATTTAATACTAAATGAACTACTGAATCGAACTTGACCGAATATCTGGTTAGATCCACCGTTGGTTTTGATTTGGTATGTGATGGAGTTCTACATAGAAAATGTATCTTAAACTGCTATTTAACAATTAAATTATTCCTTCAATTTCGGTACTATTGAGTAGTTTTCAAATTGAAGATAATTTAATTAGAGTAAGTGCTTAAAATAAAAAGAAAAATGAGCATATATACTACAATTTACTTTAGTGTGTATTAATGTCATTTGATGATTTAGAAGGTTCTAGAATTAGAAAGGACAGAAGACAAGAAATAAAGTAAATGTTTATTTTAGAAAAGAAATATTCGTTTAAAGCTAACTATTATTACCAGTTTCCCTTGACTTTTAATTATAAAAATCCAATCTTGTTTGGACCTAGTTCGTTTTCTTTCTTAGTAATTGCTTGTTTTCAAAGAGAGTTTGATTTTGGAATATTTTAACATGATTCTACAATGCTTTGCGATAAAATTAACTTGCACTTTCTTTCTTAAATATGGCAATAATATGTTATATATATATATATATATAGGGAAAAGTGAATCTAAGGTGACACCCTAGGCTCCCACCTAAGGACGCGGCCTAAAATCACATCATTCCCTAATATTTTTTTACGATCCGCTCCGTTGAACTTGATCTACACATTCTTAAACCTAAACACACCAATTTTGGGGTGAACCCGTCGTGTTTTGACCCTTCATCCACTCGTCGTAATTTTAACGGTTTCGAATGAATAGAACTTTTTTGACGACTCAACGAATGGTCAAAACACGACGGGTTCACCCCAAAATTAGTGTGTTTGAGTTTAAGAACATGTAGATCAAGTTCAATGGAGCGGATCGTAAAAAAATATTAGGGAATGATGTGATTTTAGGCCGTGTCCTTAGGTGGGAGCCTAGGGTGTCACCTTAGATTCACTTTTCCCAAAATATATATATTATATATATATATTATAATATATATATATATATATATATATATATATATATATATATATATATATCATATAATATATTTATATATATATATATAATATATATATATATATATATATAGTTTGTTTTGACCTACTATCTTCAGCAGGCATTATGTATATGTTTTGAGTTGAGTAGTGATATAAAGTGTCATCGCTTGCTCGCCTACACGCGACTTGTCTTGTGCAAGGGTCGATGTTGTTCGGTAACCGGTTTTATGAATATCACTTGAAGTTTTGGAGCGTGACAATTTCATTCATTTCTTAGTGATTAATTCATTTAGTTTCACTCTTCAAATCATTAATGATGTAGAGGGCGACATAGAATCTTGCTAGCATAAAGAATATAGCAGCTATATCGAATCTGCTAGCATAAAGATAAAGATAGTAGAGGCTCATCGGATTTTTCTAGCACAAATAGTAAAAAAACAAAATTTAACTAACATAGCAACTGCCTAATAATTGAAAAAGATATATGATAAGTTCTGGTATAATCAATTTGCCAAATCAATATGGTTACATTGTTCATAACGCCGTATAACTAAAAAATGATACCTCATTGTGCGGACGGATTCGATATAACATTTGGACCTTTAAATCTCCCAACTATATTACCAGTTCTCTTAAATTTTAATTATTAAAAATCCAACCCATTTGACCTATATATAGTTTGTCTCATCTCAACGTGGAAACCCAAATTCATTAAAAATCTTTTTTTTCGCCAATATATATCATATTCCTCATTAGATTACAAAAGGCTATGATAAGTTTTGCTATAGCATAGGCAATATCATATTGTTACATGTTTTACACGTAATAACTAAAACATGATCTCCTAGTGTATCTCACCATTTTCTCATTATTCATTCTTTCGCATCAATTTTCTCTAAACTAATCAAAGTCATCATGTTTCTCTAAACAAATACTTATCAAATATCAAAGTATATCTATCTTCTGTTAAAGAATTTAATTTCTCGAGTATTAAAGAATAATCATAAATAAGAAATTATTCCTTTTAATATATATCGATCATGAGTTGTGCGACAGGATTCGATCCGTCGCCAATACCTTGATTGGCGACGGATCACATCGTCGCAATACACTTATTGGCGACGGTCTCGAATCCGTCGCCAATAATCATTTTAGGCGACGGTCATGACGACGGATCAAATCCCGTCGTGCAATAACATGGCGATGGATTCGATCCGTCGCTAATGTTTCGACGCCATGAGTATTGGCGACGATTTGATCCGGTTCTCAATGATCCGTCGCCAATACTTATTGGCACGGATTTCGAGCCGTCGTAATAAGATATTGGCGACGGATCGAATCTGCTCGCAATAAGTATTGGTGACGGAACATTGGGCGACAGATCAAATCGTCGCCATACTCATTGGCCGACGATAGAATCCGTCGCTATCACTCATTGGCGACGGATTCGATCCGTCGCCAATGTTTTTCCGTCGCCTAAGGTTATTGGCGACGGAAAATCATTGGCGACGGATTGAAATCCGTCGCCAATACAAACATTGGCGACGGGGATAACCCCGTCTCCAATGTTCCGTCGCCAATGTTTTTATTGGCGACGGATTTGAAATCCGTCGCCAATACCCCGTCACCAATGCCCTGTTTTCTACTAGTGTAAGAAGCTAGTGAAAAGTTAGATGTATGATGTTATGACAAATCCAAAGAGTAAATAAATATCAATTACATGAAAAGTGAAGAAAATATTGAGAATACAAAACGCATAGATATAGCATGGGTCAGCTTGTACAATCTTTTTTTTTTGA